AGTACATACTTGAACCCAAGTCTTTTCATTAAAACAGTCTCACTATGTTGCCCTTGGTAGAGTGCCATGGTGTCATTGTCATAGCTCACAGCAACCTCAAACTCTTGGGTGTAAGGGATTCTTGCCTCAGCTTCCCAAGTAGCTGGGACTACAGGCACCAGCCACAACACTTAGCTATTTTTTGTTGTTGTTTGCATTGTTGTTTAGCAGGTCTGGGCTGGGCTTGAACCCACCAGCCCTGGTGCATGTGGCTGGCACCCTAACCACTGAGCTACAGGCGCTGAGCAATGGCTTTTGGATTACCTCCTAAAGGATCTGCCTGCTCTGTTTTACAGTTAACTTTCTTTCTTTCTTTCTTTCTTTTTTTTTAAAGAGATACAGAGTCTCATTTTGTCACCTCGGTAGAGTGCCATGGCATCGCAGCTCACAGCAACCTCTAGCTCTTAGGCTTAGGCAATTCTCTTGCCTCAGCCTCCTGAGTAGCTGGGACTACAGGTGCCCACCACAACACCCGGCTATTTTTTGTTGCAGTTTGGCTGGGGCTGGGTTTGAACCCGCCACCCTCGGTATATGGGGCTGGTCCCCTACTCATTGAACCACAGGTGCCACCCTACAGTTAACTCTTTTTTGTAAGTAGGAATACACTCTAAGATAACACTAAAAAATACAATATAATAAATACACATACTAGCAGCATAATAGTTTATTATCATTATCAAGTATTATGTGCTGTAAATTATTGTATATACTCTACTTTTATGTCCAGCAGTGCAGGAGGTTTTTTTCACCAGCATTACCATAAATACTCAAGTAATGCATTGATACCACAATCTTCCCATGGCTATAGTATCACTAAGTGACAGGAACTTTTCAGCTCTGTTATAGTCTTACAGGACCACTAGGATATATGAGGTCCATTCTTGGCTGAAATTTCTTTATGGGATACATGACTATATATATTTTTTTATTATTATTATTTTCTTTTTATTGAGACAGTCTCACTTTGTCGCCCTTTGTAGAGTGCTTGGGGTTGCTTGCAGCAACCTCAAACTCTTGGGCTGAAGTGATTCTCTTTTTTTTATACCAAGGTATAGATACCAGAGGACCCTGAC